CCGCCGCCTGGGGCCCCGCCGCACCGCCGGCCCGGGCAGGTGCAGGCGGGGCGGGGAACGGGCCGGGCTCCGGGTCGCCCCCCGGGGTGGCGGGCAGCGGGCGCTGGGTGTGGGGAGGGAGCGCTTTGTGCCCGGCGGGGGAGGGGGTGAAAGGGGCTTTTGATAAAGGCTCTGCTCCACCACCCTGCCGGGGGTAGGGGAGTGGGTGTAGAAGAAATAGATTTAATGTTTTTAGAAATATGAATGTTAAGCCGTTTTTGGAACAAAAAAAAAAAAAAAGTGATAGGAAAAGAATTGGGATTGGGAAAGGATTGGAGAACCTGGAGAAAAAGACTTGGAAAAGAAAAAAGACTTGGAAGAGGAATAAGACTTGGAAAAGGAGAAAGATTTGGAAGAGGAATAAGACTTGGAAAAGGAAAAAGAATTGGAAAGAATTTAGGAAAAAAGCTTTAAAGATTAAAAGGAACCCCCCCCCCCCAATTTGGAAAATAAAAGTGAAGAATAAGAGGAAAAAAGAAAGTTACAAAAGAGTAATAATAAAGATAAAAATAAAATGCAATTAAAGCAGACAAGAGGAGGCGGAGGCTGGGGCAGGAAGGAAGAGCCCCGGCGGGCGCGCCCCTGCACCCTCCTGCCCCCCGCCCTGGAGCTACAGCCCCGCAGGACAGAAGCCCCTTTGTGGGTGCAGCCTGGGGTGAGGGTCCCAGGCTTCACATCCCTCAGCAGCTCCCAGGGGACGCCTCCAGAGGAGGACAGGGACGGGCAGCCTGCAGGCAGCCTGGACCCCTGCCAGCTGCCTCGTCCCTGGAGTCAGAGCATCCGGCAGCAGCCCCCCGAGTTCGCCGGATCCCCCACCTTTCAGGCAGGGCAAGGACCCTGTGCCCTGCTGCCGCACCGCTGCCTGCTCAGGGCTGGCATTTGCTGCTGGCAGCTGGCACTGACCCCTATGAAGGGACACGGGGCTGGGGTGCAGCCGGGCAGGGGGACGGATCCTTCCCCAGTGGGTGTTGGGGAGCTCCAGGTCCCACGGTGGGGCCGCTCCCTGCCGGGGCTGACACGCAGCTCTCCCGGTGCAGGCATGGCTGCGGCTCTATGGGTACCTGCCGCAGCCCAGCCGCCGGATGTCCACCATGCGCTCGGCTCAGACTTTCTCCGCAGCGCTTGCTGAGATGCAGAAGTTCTACGGCATCACCGTCACCGGCGTCCTGGACGAGGAGACCAAGGCGTGAGTTTCTCCATTGTCCCCTCGCTCAAGCAGATGGCAGCTCCGCTCCCAGGCTCTGTGGTTTTCTCTGACAGCCCCAGGGCTCTGCCAGCGCCTGGAAAAGTGGGTGCTGTCCTCCTTGGGAGCTGCTTCTCCCCTTTTGGGGGCTGCACCTCTGCAGCCAGGATATTGTCCCTGCTGTCTGTGGGTGCTGTAACCCCTCAGGGATCTTGGCTAGGGTGGGCTGAGCCCTGGCTCGGTGTCCTCCTGGCAGGTGGATGAAACGTCCCCGCTGTGGGGTCCCGGATCAGTTTGGAGCACGGATGAAGTCCAACATGCGTCGGAAGCGGTACGCGCTGACAGGGCGGCGCTGGAGCCAGAACCACCTCACCTTCAGGTACCCAACACTGCCAGGGATTCCCTCCCCCCAGCCCATGGAGAGCCATGGATCCCCTCAGGGAATGAGTGCTGCTCCAGGCCTTCCCTAGTGAATTCTGTATCCCCAGCATCCAAAACTACACGGAGAAGCTGGGTCGGTACCACTCACACGAGGCTGTCCGACGAGCTTTCCGGGTGTGGGAGCAAGCCACGCCGCTGGTTTTCCGGGAGGTGGCCTACGAGGACATCCGGCAGAAGAGGAAGAAGGAGGCTGACATCATGGTGCTCTTTGCCTCTGGATTCCATGGAGATAGCTCTCCCTTTGATGGCCTTGGAGGATTTTTGGCTCATGCCTATTTTCCTGGCCCTGGCATGGGGGGGGACACGCATTTTGATTTGGATGAGCCCTGGACGCTGGAGAATGCAGATGTGTCTGGTGAGTTGAGGGCCAAGGAGGTGGTAAAGGTGACCAGAGGAACCTGGTGGCCTTCTGGGCTGGAGGAGGGGGGTCTGTGCTGGGGTGGACAGGGGTGGGAGAAAGAGCAGGTCCACCATGGGTGATGCAGGCCGATCCTGCTGAAGCACCCCTGTTGCAGGGTGCTGGGTCCAGGGGGTCCACCTCATGTGTCATGTCCTTCATCCCCTCTTGCTGATGGTGCCTCTCCATGTAGGGAACAACCTTTTCCTGGTGGCTGTGCATGAGCTGGGGCACTCGCTGGGCTTGGAGCACTCCAGCAACCCCAGTGCTATCATGGCCCCCTTCTACCAGTGGATGGACACGGAGAACTTCCAGCTGCCTGAGGATGACCTCAAGGGCATCCAGCAGCTCTACGGTGAGGAGCTGGTTGGGGGATCATCCCAGAAATGTGTGTGGGGAAACTGAGGTACATGTGCTGTTGGTGTGCATCACTTCATCACTTGTCTCACCTGCCTGATCCAGGTACTGCAGATGGGCACCCTCAGCCCACCAAGCCTTTGCCCACCGTGACACCCCGGAGACCTGGCAGGCCAGACCAGAGACCCCCTAAACCTCCCTCTCCAGGGAATCCAGAGCGACCACCCAAACCTGGCAGCCCTGACCGACCTGACCAGTATGGCCCTGACATCTGTGATGGGGACTTCGACACGGTGGCGGTGCTGCGTGGGGAGATGTTTGTATTCAAGGTACCTGCCGGGACCTCCTCCTGCCCCTTCCTTGGGTCTGTGGGTGGGAGGACCCCTCAGCAAGGTGACTGTCCCTGTGTCCCCCCATGCTCTGCCAACACCCTGTTTCTTTCCAGGGCCGGTGGTTCTGGAGAGTCCGGCACAACCGGGTGCTGGACAACTACCCCATGCCTATTGGGCACTTCTGGCGGGGCCTCCCTGGGGACATCGATGCTGCCTATGAGAGGCATGACGGGAAGTTCGTCTTCTTTAAAGGTGAGCAGGGAAGCTGGATGGGAGGGCTGAGGTGGAAGCGAGACCCCAGTGCCCCCCACAAAGCTGCTGAGAGCTGGTTGGCTTCATCCTATCATCACCCACCTCCCCAGCCAGAGCTGCTGTGTGATGCTAAGGGGTTGGGGTGGCCACAGGCATCTACCACTATCCATTTGTGTATCTGCCATAGCAGCTGGACAGGACCTTCTCAACCCCCTTCTCCAACTCTTTCCACTCCAGGTGACCGGTACTGGCTCTTCCGAGAAGCCAACCTGGAGCCCGGGTACCCACAGCCCCTGGTCACCTATGGGCAGGGCATCCCCTACGACAGCATTGACACGGCTGTCTGGTGGGAACCCACGGGACACACCTTCTTCTTCCGTGGGGACAGGTGAGTGTCTGTAGGGTTCTCCCTGCTCTGTTGCTTCCTAGCCCCTGTCAGGGGGAGAACGTTGGGCAGCAGGGGACCCCTGTGCTCGTCACCTACTCCCCACCTCCCTCCCCAGATACTGGCGCTTTAACGAGGACACACGCTCGGTGGACCCTGGGTACCCAAAGCCCATCTCTGTCTGGGTGGGCATCCCTCCCTCGCCCAAGGGAGCCTTCCTCAGCCCGGATGCCTGTAAGTAGAGGAGGAGAGGTGGATGGTGGTGGTGGGGGTCTTGGGGATGAGATTATCCCTCTCATGGCCTGGCCTTATGGGATGGACTTGGGGACAGTGTCTGGAGTCGGTGGTGAATCCTTTTCTGAAGGATTTCACCAGTCCTGGAGAAAAATGCTATCTTGGGCATCTGCAGGGGTGCCCAGG